CCCACCTGATTGTAAACCTTTATGTTTGGTGAGAAAAGGTCAAAATCCATTACAGAAATATGACATGTTCTGGTGACCTGACGTGCAGCCGCGTACACTTTATAAGAAACGTAGCCGGACCTAGTTAGTAATAATAAAATGAATATTATAAATTAACACTAACTGCTGAGGAGAAGGTAGAGGTAGGTAGAACAGATCAAAAACATACCACGCAGAACCAGCTTCAACTTAAAACCAACTTCTAATCTTCTACCAATCTCGAAAAGCGAGAAGAAGCTTGAAATCATCCATTCGATGGTCAGCTTTTATGAAACTTACTGAACTCCCAATTGCAGAACTAAGACTTGGCGTTTTGCTCAAGACATATATACAACATCAATAATACAGGCATCTACATTTTTATGACACTAAAATAACTGCAAAATCTTCGGTCTTGGGTTCAAACACTAAAGCAATTGACGTTAGCCTACATATTTTACAGTAACTTTAAAACTGAGTTCTCATTCACTGCGGTAAACCACCTGAACTACGGCACAACAGAAGAACTCGTAAAATTGTACGGCCTTAAAAACCATACTCGTTCCATACTTTTATCACAGCCGCAAAAGCGAGCCGACATACCACGGCCAATAATCTGTTCATGATTCCAAGAAATGTTCAAATGCACTAAAATATCGTATGGAGGTGGGCTAAAATTATTCGCACTCACATTCCGGTTTATTTCTGTGATGTGGAGTAACGGTACGACACACACCATCTTAATAGCCAGGAATTCCACCAGTGTGACTTCTTAGCAGGCTAAATATTTAGTCAGCGTTCTTCGAGGACTCACTTCCTTGTCGAGTGACGAATGTCTTGACCATCAATCTTGATGATCTCATCGCTATACTAAATAAACGTATCTGGAACTTGTTTAATTTTACGATTGATTTAATGTCAATGACTAAAAAATATACACCGTTCTTATAATCGATTCGTTTCCGTATGTGTGATTTTATAACTATATGAGCTTAAGCTGTCTCTCAAATTTAGACAAATGGTCGTTTCCAAGTTTATGCATATTTGCTAAAACCGTTCAATGAAGATTCAATGGAGTTCTTTCTCTTTTCTTGGGTTTTCCGCTCCTTGCATTCCTGCCTATAGAAGATGAATTAAATGGTTTACGTTTAAAATACGATCCAAGAAGAAAAGAGACTGGGTATTCCAATTCCCATCCCACTCATACAGCAAAAGTTCATTAAAGTTAGATATTATATTATCTATTCGGGCGAGGATTAACCAACAACACTTAATTGGTGCCTACCTCTCGTACCTACTTATACACATATTGTAATGAATTAAATCTTAAGCTAAACATTTGCGAAATGTGATTTGACGAGTCATTATGAAATGAAAAAGTAAATATGCAAGTACATTTAAACACGAAATTTTGAGTCAAATATATTCCGTGTTCTCATGATATCATCTATCTCGTTTTCGTTTCCTAACAAGGTTGTAAATAATCTTATTCAATGAACAAGAGCTTAATCCGACCAGTGCAAGACCTATAACGGCGCTCCAATGTTTACACGGGAATGAGGGCTGGCTGTCAAGTTCACAGCTGATTTATGCGGCTGCGCCATCTTCTTTCTTTGTGCGTCACTTGCGCTCGCGCGTGGCGTCATGAATTATGGACACGCTTTCAGGCCAACTCGGACGGTCCTGTCACGACTGTCGTACCCATTTGAAGTTGAAATGTTTAACACTTCAAGGTGACACCAACGATTGGCTGTTGGAATAAATACATTTTGGTACTATATGTGAGCTTTTTGTATAGTACCTAGAGTACTATTCACTTATTCCTTACCTTAAAAGGGAAGAACGGCCGCGTCACTCATCGCGAGTCGGTCTATCCATCTGTCTATCACCTGTATCATCTGTATTAGAACCACGGTAGCTCAACGATGACGCTCTTGTGCTATGATGTACACGCGAAAAAATGAGTCCTAAAAATATTAATAGAGCACCTTTGGTGTTATGGCTTATTAAATTAGAGATTAAATGTACTCCAATGGATCTATTGAGTCAAATCTTTATCTACATATTTGTACCGATAGTTCGCTGTGTACCTTATGTCTTAAATAAATGGAACACAACACATTTGAGAAAATACAGTTTTGGAAACAGTATGAGATTAATTGAGTCTTTTCGTTTGTTGTAAGAATAAGAATTTATTTATTTCATTTTATCCAAGGATTTAAACAAAGAAGTTGACTATCCCTTGTCAACTAAATAACTGGGCATAAAAATACATAATAAGTGCAATAAATAGTAAGACTTATCCTTTTTAAAATATATTTATACGGATCTCGAATGTAACCGGTGTCTACTGAATTAGAACAAATTTAATTACTTATTTATGATATTCTATAAGTTAGTCATGTGCATTAAGGATAATACAAATATTTACACTTTATGCATTCTAACTTTTGATTCTTCTGATCAGAATCAGAAGCTTCTGATTCACATTTATCAATAGCAAATAAAGTCGGTATTTCATTTGTTTACTAAACATACATATCACTTGGAATATAAATGTAACATACACAATGTACGCATATGGAAACATGTGGGAGCAGCTGGCCAAGACACATGCACTAAATTGTATTATTAATAGCCATATACAAGTGAAACATTTGGACATACTCGTAATGTAGATAACTTTATTGAACGTAAGTCTTCTCCAGATACTTACATACTTAAATCAAATATAGTTTTCACAAAGCTTAGTTTAAAATACTCTTGTGCCTTATAAAGATACTAAAACTTCCTAATCCTCATCTTCCTAATTTACTTTACCTACCCATTTTATAGCTGCTAATAATTAAACAAAATAAATAATATAGAACGACCGTGTGCTAACTTTAAGCGTTTTTCAAAATCGTTAGATGGTTAATAGTCATTGGTGAAACGCATTTTCACCTTAGACTACGCCTTAATATTTAGGCGTCAAATTTGGGCGACTCCTTAGTTTAGTGAAAACGGAGATAAGTCACCTAAAATTAATAATATTGTCGTTCTATACTAATATAGCAGTGATTAGGACAAACTTACATATAAATTCTTGTGTGTAGAAGCACTGAAGGACTTACAAAAGAGGTTATAATGACAGTATTTTGGTTTAATCAACTTTTAACTAACTTGGATATATAACTATCTCTCTTTACTTAGAATTATTATAACATGACAATAATTAGCAACAAGCTAATTGAAATTGCATATTAATAAATAAAGTCGATTGTAACACTGTGTCTCTGGGGTCTGTGTCTACTTTGTGCAGGGCTATTTCTTTTATTTTCGGGTATAAATTAAAATAGCAAGGTTCGAGGTTAGGGCTATTTCCTCCTATACATATCATTGCAACGCCATGAAATTAACTCTCTTTTAATTTGGTGCCTTCGAAGACTTATCCCACTTCAGACCGTCAGAGTCATTTCTCACATATTTATTTCACTATGAAGATCCATGTTTCTATTGAACTTTTTATTTATTATTGTTATAATATGTACTATATTGGTAATGACATGATTTATGTAAATGTCTTTACTTATGATCAAGGGCTGGTAAGTTTCTTGTTGTCAGCTAAAAGACGTGCTGAACAAGCGGAAGGTAATTTTCTTTTTTGACGATTCAAAAGTGCTTGAAACACACTTACTTGAACAAAGATATTTTCGTTTAATTTAATTTCATTACAATTACTTACCATTTTCTTTTAAAACATAGACACAAAACTACATTAGAAATTGGGTTGAGGGCCATTGTTGCAGTGTAACATAGTGCCCCGTTACACAGTGCCCCATTTGGGCAAGCCTAACTAAAAAATCAAAAAGAGTAATAGAGATTGAGTTTATAATAAACAATGAAACGTTAATATGAAGCCAAAAAAACAGGAAATAGATGTAAAGCGTAATCACTTAGTTAAATGTCATATATCAGGAAAAGAAACAAAACTTCAATGTAACGTTACCTATTTTTTTTATAAAGAATATCAATATTCGGGATAAACTGAAGTATTGAAAATTGATCCAAGACGGCCATTTAAGAGCTTGTCAAAACTGTATACAAACATTTTAAAAATTAATGACAGGGATGAAAATATGTGCATTATAACAGAGTGCCCCGTGTAACACTGATCCCACCTTACCCTAGAGTACATCGTACTGCTTGTACATAGATTTAAAATCTCCTAGGTCCCTAGTTCGATTCACGCGCGGGAAAATGTAGAAAATAAACTGTGCTATGGAATGAAAGTATGTAATGTTGTCTATCGTTTATTAATTTATCTATACTAATATTATTATATTATAAAGTTTTTAACTTTGATTGTTGCTAGGCCATAATCTTTGGAAATACTTATCCGATCATGAAAATTCTTTCACTCACGGGAAGCTACATAATACGCGGGCAGGTAAAGGCTATAATTAACGTGGGCAAAGTCGCGGCAAAACAGTTAGTTCAGCAATAAACTTATTAGGCGTCAGTTGTAAATTGACGCCGCAGTCATCAGGCTTATGTCGAGCTTGAGCCTTTTGGACACACCATGCTGGAGTACTTGTCTATGTAATATGTTTTTTCTGTAATTTGTGTATCCAATCTAAAATGGAACTCGATGGCGATGTCGCTAGCGCATTTAAGCAGCGTTCGCAATATCCGGCCATAGGATGGGCGACCTAAAATTTATTATCTCTTCTCCGTGCTTCAGAAAGCACGTTATTACGTTGGTCCCGGCTGCATCTGCAGTCGTCAACACCCGCCAATCCGCACGGAGTCCTCGTGGTGTAGCATGGCCCATTCTCCCTATTTGCCTTGATTCGATGCCATCCATAGGGAAAACCTGAGCCCCAGCAATGGGAACATAAATAGGCTGGTGATAATGATGATGTGCATCTAAATTGTCCAATAAATGATTCATTCATATTCATTAATTCAATAAAATACTTAAATAATCGTATCCTTTCCAGGCAACCCAAACGATAAGATCTTGTACGGTCGCCCGAATAAGCGACGCAGCGCCTCCTTCCCGGCGCCGCGCTCCCTTGACCGACGCCACTCCCTCAGGATCTTCGGCTCGTCCAGCAAGTACCTGCAACGATGCGCCTCCACGAGAAGCCTTCATCATAAGAACGCCAACACAACAGACAGTTCGTCTTCCACCGATTACCCGCCCAGTGTTGAATCTGCATCGCCCAGTACGTATTTTTTTTTACACAAAATTTAGTGTTACATTGACATTTTTACTCATAATACTAAATACAACAATCTATGCTCATCAACATGTTTATGATGACATAATTCTTTTTATTTCTGAGCTTGTTTTACATAGGTTAGTAACGTAGGTGATTTTGTATACCTAGTCCTTCTATCTTCAATTCCCAGATTTCTGATATGCGCCATCGCCTGTTTCTTTACAAGAACTGGCTCACTAACTCCACAGCATTTAATATCCTACAGTAAAAATACAAAAAGAAACCATTACACTATAATGTGAAGATATCACATATCAAAATAGCTGCAATAACTAAGCATTATATCTGCTACTTAAATCAGGCATCTTACAAAACCTTTCTTGTCAATTTAATTAGTTTAACAAACGATATTAAAATTTTAAATCGGTCTTTGCATCCTAAGTTTGCAGGTTCGTGTCCTTTTACGGATGGTCGTCATAAATGTATAGGCAAACGCTAATTGTGGCAAGATTGTCTACACATTATTAATTTACATATGTGCACCAAATCTGTATCGATCCAGATCGTTTCAGAGCGCATTTTATGTCATTGATGGAGGGGTAAAGACTCACGAGTCCTACAAAAGAGAGGATCCTACACGGTTTGCGTTTTCTATATCATTTGAAGGTACGAAACTAACTAGTCACTAGTCAAGTGCTCTAGGATGTAGGTAGTCCCGCCAGTACCAGCTGAAATTAAATTGCCAGAGATTTGTCAGACATTCTAATAAGTCAATATAATTACTTAAAAACCACTTTATCCCTGGCACTCTGAGACGGAACTCGAACCAGTGATTATTTTCATCAATGTTCAGGCAATCCACCCAAACAGCCGAAAGAAATATTTTTACAAATATTTAAACTTTCGATAAACATGAAAATTTGTTCTAATTATTATATTTGATCAATGCGTCAGTGGTTAGAGCAGTCGCCCGGATTGCCAAAGGTCATGAATTCGAGTCCCATCTCAGCGTGCCAGGGACCAAGTGGATTTTTAAGAATTTTTCATCAAGAATATTTCTCAGTATAAATATAAATCAATTGTACTCGTAATAAGAATTATCCTATAGAACTACGAGTATTTAAATTTAAGACAGTTATATAAACGGACATGGCATCGTTTGGAGAAAGGGTAATTACCTATTTGAATGTATTTACATCGGTAGGTAGACAGAAACGTTTGATGCCCATTTGATAGTCGTGACAACTCTTTTGCTTCCTTCATATTCATCAAATGCATCGAAGTTGAAATATTAAGGAGGCATACCCGATGTTTAGAAAAACTAACACGATATCTGAATGCAAAAAAGAGAAGTTGAAGTAGTTACAATTAATCATTTCAGCATCAGCTAAAATATAGCTAATGTGTTAATTCCTTGGATAAATTCTGGTAGTTTTGATGTGGTTATATTGGCTATGTGCACGACATCAGCGACATCTAGCGTCTCACACCTTGCGAGCTTAGAACGCTTTAAAAATAAACGCAATACATATACGTTTGTGCAACTGGCTGAAAGGGTTGTGAAATCATTTTTAATCATTCAAATTAAATGAAGTAACTAAAACTAATTTAAAAAATATGTTGTGACATTTTGGTTATCTCAGAATTTGTGTAGCACATTTTTAGTTGCAGTTTTACTGTAAAATAAGAGATTAAAGTGTGTTCGATGGTTTCGTTAATAATAGTAAACATATACGATTATTGCTGTGTCGTTAGTTATAAATGAAAAATGGTTTGATGAGGACCGGTTTGTTGTGTCACTCTCGGCAATATTATACTACCAAAAATAAAGAGGTTTTTGGTAGTACAATTCTTGTCAGACAGAACATACACATCTGGTACCATTAATTATCAAAATGTTATTATATTAATAGTATTATACCCCAAATGGGATTGTGATTTGGTCCATTGAATAGATCACCATTTTTTTATTTAACTTTCTTTTTACATGTAGAAATTCATTTATTCACTTGATATTGGCAGAAATGTGCTGAATGTGCAGATAAGCTTTAATAAAAGAATAAGACCCCAAATATATTTGCAATAAATGCATTTAATTTAAAAGCCTTTAAGACGCCATTATTATGTTAGCATTAGCAAAACAATATCCCGATCTATAAATTTCTATATAACTTATAATCTAGGTGACGTTCTTCGATGTGATTTTCCAATTATCTAAATGCCACATGTCTACGTGTTTTCAGAGAAAGTGTCCTTGCTGTCCCGCTTATTCAGACGAAGCGGCCGCAGCAAGCAGACGCGAGCGATGAGCACCTTCTCTGCCCAGTTCCCGCCCACCGAGTGGTTCAACTCAAAGGCGGTGCACCTACATTGTGTCGCCACGCAGACCAACTCAAAGGTAATATAAACTTACCTACTATATCTATCCTTGTACATAAATGAGTCCAAAAAAACACCAAATCACAAAAAAAAAAAATAGTTTTTCATGAGAAATTAACGGAAATATGAAGATTTTGTTGAAAAGTAAAAAAAAATGTCGCATTGGCACAGTACTGAATCGGTATCTAATCTATTTCTATTTACTGTTTCAGGAATCATTGCAGAGTCAGACATCTTTCGTTTCATCGTATTATGACGGTTCAGAGATAAGTAATCGGTCGTCGACTCTACCGAGGAGGCACAAGAGGCATCTCTCAACCGAATCAGGTTTAGCTGGGTCGGTACACTATGACCACTCGCCAGTTCGCCATTCCAGTCCCAGTTCTGGCAGTCTTCCCAGGTCAACGCTGAGTCGAAGTTCCACAAATAAAACCATTTTAGACCACTACGGTTCACCACAACGGAGCAGTGATCCCAAATTACGAGAAAGCCCATGTGGGAGCCTGAGAAGAGTAGATTACTCCAATTCGGACAACATAATGTCAACCAGCGGTCCATCGAGTCTCGAAAGTACGAGTACACACAGAACGCCTAGAAAAGATATTAGAAACGGGCATTCAGATCAAAACTCGCCTACAAAAAGAAACTACACAAGTGGAAGTAGCGGTCATTCCAGTTTAGAGTCTCACATATCAGATCGTACTTTAAAGCCTTCACCTAGTCATATAAACTCGCATGGAGCGCCTGGTTTGAGTCGAGCGCAATCCCTGGTCAAGGTGCAAAGTCTACAGAGTTCTCCGAAAAGTTTACACAAATACCGAACTAAACCACCTCTAGTCGGAGGTGAAACGGTAAAAAACGGTAAAAATACATCACCTAGAAGTTCGCCAAAAAACTGTCCAAATACACCTAAAAAAACCGCAACCCCTTTGCATAAGACACTAGGGCAGAAAGCGGAGAACCCATCTGCTACAATGTTGGCAAGTTCCAACTCGAATAATTCTATAACGCTTAAAGTTACCACTAATACTATAACTCAAAATGGTGGAGGCACCAACACCAAAGTTTATGTACAAAACTCGCCCGTAAGATCAGTTATTACTTTCGAAAATGGTAAAGTCACTGAAACCAGTAATGGTAGCAATATCTACATAATCAACGACGATAGACAAGTTGTTTCAGTTTCCCAAAACGGTGTTTCAAATCAATCAACCAAAAATCCCACTGAAACATCATTCGACGTATGTGTCGAGAAAAATAAATACCAAGAACCTGAACCTGCGAAGGTGCAAGAGAATAAGTTTAATAAAAACTCGATTAACGATACGAGTATGAATAACAATCGTAAACTATCCCTGCAGATAGGTGGTGCCACAAATAATAATAGTTTCGTTTATAAAAACCAATTAAATAACACTAACGAAGCCGCTTCCAATCCCGCGTCACCGGCCATCCACAATAATATTCATAGCAACGAAACAACTACGAATAGCAATCCATCGACTCCTACCAAAAGCTATGATAATATAATAGGTTCTTTAGGTAACTTGAGGTACCAAAAGAACTCTTTGTCCTCCACAAACACAGGAATGCAAACCAATATCAACTCAAACAGTGAACTAAAAAGCGTTGACTTACTGAAGAAGGCGGCTGCTTTACAAATGTTAAATGGACTTCCCAACGCCAACAACCGTATGAGTTCAGATTCTATAGCAAACTTGTTAACGAAAGCTATCGACCAAAAACCTGTGGTATTAGGATCAGAACCAAACTTGGCACAAAAAAATCAGGATCAGATAAAGGATATAAACACGTCAGCGGAAAAATTAAACTGTTTAGAAAACAAACAGAAGAGATACAGTCTAAGCCAGGAGAGCAAGAAGGAGAACCAGGACTTCTATAATTTTCCGAGCTTGAGCGATTTGAGCTTTAATTTTACTAGTTTAGCTGCTCAGAAGATATTGAAAGGGGTCAGTATAAATAGTGTTGACACTCTGGTCGAGTTAAACATGGCCGCGAATACAGAAAAACAGAATAATCGAGATGTTGCGGCTGTCTGCACGGATTTCGGTCTTGTATAGTACTTAAAAATTAATATTTTGTTAAAATGTACAATATTAGCATTAACCATGTATAATTTAAGGTAGTTGTATATCATATTATACGTAATAACTATTCAAGTTTAACATTCTTAGGTACACCTGCATATTAAGTTGAAACCTTGTAATCGATTAAGATTTTTGTACTTACTCCCCCATCTTATAAAATTTATCTCTTTTTACCACTGTATCCTTCTAATTACTTTATAATATTTGTCATAACTAACTTATCATCAATCGTATCAAAGTAGGTATAATATAGAAGTGCTTAATCGTATACGATGTAATAAAATTCGTAGTTTGTACCACTTTGAAATATAAGACAATAAAGAAAACACACCATCCATGAATATGTGGCCTAAAATTAAAACGTGCGTAAGCAAACTTAGTGAGGTACAATTAAGACAAAATTTCATTTCACGTTAGATTTAACAAAATAAGTAATTTAAAAAAGAACGCGCTTTGCACTCAGCACTACTTATCGTGCCATCATCAATTGCAGTGACGAAGTCGAGTACAAACTAGAATACCTAAACTCCGTATAACATATTCCATCCAGCCATGGGAATTTATAAGGACGTCTTTGTAAAATGTATGTCATGTTTAAGTGCCATAATAAAACCATAGTATTACGCTTGTGAACGCACTAGGAGGGTATTCCAGCAAATCTGTTATTGGTGTCCCAGTGAAAAAAGAATATGGTGAAGATATTACGCAACACTGAGATTCTTACTGACTGGAATAATTTGCTGCTACGCTCTAGTTAACTACTGCCATTTCATTTTCTAACTGGAAACTTATTTTCTTCACCTTTCTTGATTTTGAAAAGGTCATATCGACGTTTAAAAGGCTAATGAATCTAATATACCTACTTACTTATTTTGAATTAAAAAACTATATATAGTTAACTCAGTATCTAAAATTGGCGCTTAGATCTATTATCTTTTCAATCGTCGATATATTTTGGTACAGTTTAAAAAAAATCGCTGAAATCCCATTCTTCAGTATGATGGAATACCGTCCAGTATTAGGAATTGGTTTCGGAAAATTGGTATCCATTAGTAAACTGTATTGAAATACAGAAAAGGGTAATATTTATTCATTAGGGAATGTAATTGGAAGTCATCAATGCATATTAGTGATAAGGGTTTAGTAACGCCATTTGTAAAAATGTATTAACAATATAAGGTGATGCTTTATAATTATGTTTTATTTCTCATATCCCAAAAATAACGTTGACTGTGTACTATTCTACATTGTAATAAACTCAACCCTCAACTCGACGTAGAGCACAGCGCTGCCACCGAATAAAGATTACGATTGAACCTAGGTTCAATCGTAATCTCTATGCTGTGACGATGTGCGCGGCTCGAGTTTTCGAGCCCCGAGGTTGGTTTTATTACTATCTTCTGGGCTTAACAAGTACTCGATATATCGCAAACTGTTACGTTGTCTATTCTTAAGTTCAGTATTTTTAATGCTATAGAAGAGGGAACAAAGTATGATGAAGTTCACATAATATACAAAAGGTAAAGTTTTAAGGTACGCACATTAAACCTCGTAGACAGTTCCGGAGGATACGGAAGCTAGGAATTTTAGTAATACGCAAACCGTACGCATCGAATCGTCAGAATTCTAAAATCAATTGTTTTCACTTGCGAGGTGAAAGTAACCGTTTAAATCTGGCTTGAAATTCGGATTGATCTGCGATCAACCCAAGAGTAGGAACGCTGATCTAGAAACGAAAGAAAATTTCCATCATTTTTAGTCCGTAAAATGGACAAAACACACTATTGTTAGCGGGATATGGCACTTCTAGCCGGTTGGTTCGCACGCAGATTTCAAGGTGTCACCATCTTCCGAGGTCCCGGGTTCGATTGCCAGTCGGATTAATGTAGAAAAATTTCATGTAAAAAACATCTCTATATTCTCTCGGGCCTAGGTGTTGTGGTACCTCCGTTTTCTTAGATACCTACTCCATTTAATATCATGGAATTCATCTTGGAATATGAGAAATGTATATGATTTCTTTAATATTATTATTATCTTATAATCATAGCGATAGAATTTTTTAGTTTGCAAGCTTCGATCAAATTAATCATAGGAGAAGGTGGACGAAACAAATTTTTTAGGATCTTGTATGGGAATTATACATAATAATTCTGGCGATGCGGTGTGCAGGGCTTTGAAACATGGTTAATATCATTTGCTAATTCATAAGAAACCCTATACTTTTTTGAAAGTGATTTCATTTGGCATTCGTTTACTCATTATTTCAGTTCTGAGCAAAGATCAAAACAAAACGGTTTTAGTTCAAAATAACAGATTTCGGACGCCCAGCCCATTAATTGCTTTCACTATCTTATCTGTATCTGCTCACTCTCGCACCACTTTTAAGTAAACTTTTGGATCTTGAAAAAATTTGATAACGCTCGCAAATCGCTTCTACTCCAAGCAATTTCATCTCCTTCCCCGGGTGTTCAATGAGGATTAATGTACCTTCAACAACACTGTAATGTTTGACCACTACACTGGACATTGCTGCTATTTCAAAGGAGCAAGACATCAAACAAACAAAAAGTATTACAGCCAAAAACTAAAATAAAAATCTAAATAAAACTGAAAACATTCACTCCACTCTTTAAACAAAATATGATTTTCCACATACACAATTTTCATTCTTAGATTATAATTTGCAGTAAAGAGTAACAGACTTTAGGTTTTCATAATTTCCCATTTGTCTTTTCGAATTTGGAAATGTTTTCCTTCCCATTTGAAATATTTCTTTGCTGCCTCATTCTGTTTTGATATTATGCAGCAGCAGACAGGTGTAACATGGAACAGGCAGCTCCCACAACTGCTTAAGAATTGTGTGCTTTGAATAATTTGAAAATTCTTTAAGTTATACTAATCTAATGTTATTATATTTTTGGAACCATCTGTGAGGATCACTGGACGTTGTGCCCCATTGCGAATACGACTCACTTAACATATTCAGCTTTATTTTCATCCCTAATAAATTCCAGTAAAGTACAACAGAACCGAAATATAGTTGTTTACTAATAACAAAAAAAAAATAGCTACATAATTATTGGAGTTGTAAAAACAAGATTCCTATATAAATGAAATAATGATATTTACAAAAACTAACTCTAAATCCATCTACAATGTTTAAACGCAAGCAAACACTAAATATTATTGCCAATACTAATATTATTAAGAAGAAAGATTTGATTATTTGTTTGCACTGAATAGGCTCTGATACTACTAGAACAATTTAAAATTCTTTCCCCTACAGGTAGCTACATCATACCAGGTTGACGCGTGCAAAGTCGCAGGAAAACAGCTAGTTAAGCATGAAGATCAAAATTATAAGCATAGATATATAAAATATAAAAATTTATTTAGTTAATTAAGTAACAATGAGAAAGGGGTGGATTTGCTATTATCGTCTGCTAAGAACAGGTTATAGTACTGTGTTCCATTGCATCTGCCACAGTTGGCTCTGTCTCAGTTTGATTTTTAATTGAATTTAACCAATCATCAGTCGGATCTATTTTCTTTATTTCAGAATCTGAACTATCACTCTTCTCTTCATCTGTAACATTCTCAGAAATAACTTCATGTTTTTCAGAATGTATACTAACACTACAGTTCTTTTTTGGAGAGGAATAACAGTTCAAGTCACGAAACTTTTTTGATACATCTTCAGTTTTAATATCAACGTAACAAACACAGTTCTCAGTTCTCGTAATCTCTTTCATGGCAGCCTCTTCTATAGCTTCGAGCTCTTTATTATCATCGTTTCTCGTCAGTTCATCAATAGTTTTATAAGAGTACATATGATCATCATTAGGACTAACATAATCCTCTAATAAAAAAGTATTACTATCAAAATTAAGTTTCTCAAAGTCTATGACACCATAGTTACTTACGTTATCTAATAATATGGACTCATTATCGTAACGAATTTGTATGTTCTCACTACAATTCCTCGCCAAGTCTTTGTCATCTTCGCATTGTTTACGTAGTGCATCTAGCTGCCTCAAAGTTTTCAGCTCTCTGGCTTTAAGGCCTGCATATACACGAGCGAACGACTGCCTCACAGTTAATTTGATCTGTAAATAGAAAAGGAACAAGTTTCATCCAAGCACAAATAAAAAATCAACTTTTCATAGAAAAAACACAAACATTTTCAATATTTCGAAATAAATCGTCCGTGTCACTCGCCATGTTTACATTTTCATAGTTTTGTTTGTTTTTTTTTTAATAGTTTATTCTTGGCCTGGAACATTGTTTTGTTTTACCCGCACAGTGTTACCAACACCCAACATGTCGGGATTTACATAAGTCATGTAAATCCCGACGAGGCATTGGATTAGAGCTTTCGCGATTTTTTAAATCATATATGTTTACATTGTACTATTGTAACATTTTTGGAGATGGGGTAAACATTACACATGATGGTTACAGGTTAGGAAACCTCCATACGATCAGAATAACCCATCCCCACAACAACTGACAAGCTACACTGACAGCCAATATTGGTATTTTCAATCACCAGCACTTTCACAGTGACCTTAGTTCCTACATCCATCTTTTCTTTCCCTAATTTGAGCGAGTATTTGTTCCCCTCAGATCATCTCACTTCCTCTTCAAAGACCTAATCTCTTCCCTCAACCTATTGACCAGGCCGCCAGAATTCCTAAAGAATTCGCACTTTTCTTCTACCATAATCCACAAGTCGAACACTGTATCAGACAGCTTGCGAAATTTCTGCCGAACACCCCCATAAATCCCTACCAGGAATTTGTCTACACTATTCGCAAGCTTATTATAATGCCAACTCCTCCCACGTCCATACTAAGTGCTATTTTACAATCCTCTCACTCAAAGATCAAAATTAGAATCCAACTCATCCCACTGTGGACCCGCCACACCGTCCGTGCACTCAGAATCCCCCACCGAGTCCGAACTATTCGGCCCCTCATTCATCGTCTCCGATTTACTCCTTCCCGACTCTATCCTCTATTCTCCGGCCTTATGTAACAGAGCCTTCCTTTCCTCAACTCTCACCTCCTTGCTCCTCGTCTTTCCTCTCTCGTCACCACTCGACACGAGAGTGGTAGGGTTGTGAAAGCGGGGGTCGGCCAGTCCCCGCCTCCAGAGTGTATCAACAGCACCACCAGCTGCCGCCCATCCCCTCGCCCACGGCAAACTTGGGCTGGCGATTTATTGTTGTGGTTGTCAACACATAGGGCCGTTCAGCGAAGAAAAGCCCCCTCTGTCTCCAATCAACGTGGGGGAACCGGCTAATTGAAATTGAAAAAGGCACTCGAACTAAAAAAAAAAACTTTAAATTTTGAATCGACCGTTTTTAGTTCTCCTTTAAAAGCCTGAAAAATTGTGAGCCTGATGTGAAATACCACCGCAAGATGGCATGCGTGAACGTGAATCTCTGTACAACAGATTATTTGTTCTACAACAATGAAAAAGGAGAACTATCAAAACAAATATCACTAGATGGCGGCACTCTTTCTCAAATAAATAAAATTTAAAACTTAATTTTTTTTTTGGCACTCAAATTAGCTCAGTTTCTTGAGCCCCAAAAAAGTCCAATTAGTTTATTTCCGCCTCTAAATTTGGGGCTAAAAGCTCTAAGTTCGTATGGACCCACAGACATTTTTGGTTCAATTTTCCCATTCCTAGAGGGGAGGGGTAACCCACAAACTAGTAACGAGAGACTGTTTACCATAGGAGAATAATGTTGCCATAACAAAAAATACAACTACCATAAAATAGTGTTGCGCGACAACGATAATCTATCGATTGTATAAACCATCTGAGCTTAACTCAGAATAAACTTGGATAAACGGTCGTGAAGAATATGTAACTTTTACTATAATATAACATAAATTTGTATACTAATTGAGTGAAAACATGATAATAAATCAATTTAGCCACAGTCATAGATTTTTAACGTTCAGATAAATGTATACAGAACTGGATCTCTGGCTAAGACTGCGACCGCTTAATTCTCTAACCATAGAATACGCGAATATCTATGTAGTATGACAAAGATATTTCGTTTCGTTTTATTATTTTGACATGTAAACGCCCATATAACTCTAAAACAATGATTTAGCCATAGGAAATAGTTTCATTTGACTACTTTATGTGCGTAATGATTATGGGTTTGACAACAGTGTTACCAAATTCATTGTTTATCTTTCAAAAAGACTCGTCGAAGTACTATAACAAAACGATACCGGTGTTTTTTCTGTATTCATTTAAACATACAGAAAAAAGTTTAATCGATGTATTCCCACAAAACCCCCTGCATGCAAAATATCATGAACATCTTGAGAGCCGTTTATATGTATTGTTGACGTGACACGATATGTCACCTGCGTTTCAGTTTTTCTAATACACAGATTATAAATAAAACTTGTTTACATATTAGTTACCATTTTAACATATTTCTTTATTGTTTTAACTGTCAAGTAGCTAAATCATTCTTGACAAACGTTTATTTTCTATCGAACAAAGACATCAGAACAGAAATTCATGATTAATACTCTTCTTACATTGCCTTACAAGTATTTATCGAGAATAAAGAGCCCGCTTTTTCTGTGATTTTTAGTCACAGACAAAACAAATGCATATTTAAAAAAATCTATAGATAATTTAATATTGTTGTTGTATTGTTAATCAAAGAACGGCTTTAGAATAAAATTGAATTAAAAATGGAAATTCCTTACAATCTCGTTATATGTTAGCTTCACTTATTACAAGACATATGTTGGCAGCTGGGATATGATTCGAGTGTTTCTCGAGTTTGTCATACTATGCGTGCTGGTTCAACGTCATATGAAAGGATTGCAGAACTACGAAGAAACTTTGAAATATGTTATGCAATTAATTTTTCTTTCAGATAAAAATGAGCTCAAAGCAAAATCACAAATGCTTAGATGCTGGATAAATGTTAAAATAATGGGTAAAAAGCATGATTAGAAGAAATAAGGAATAAAGAATGATAAAGCAAAGACATCACCAACGAAGAGTTTTATCAGATTTGACATATAATTGTCATTTAATAGATTTTTTTCCCACTTTACAGTTATTGTGCAAATTATTGTATTTTAGAACTTTCAGAGTTTACCATATACTATAAAACTGTATCACCATCTTAATCATCACATGATCAGAATGAGTTCTTGTGTTCAGTCATCTTCTGAAGAAAAAATTGTTCGTACCTATATTAGATTTTTTGCTATAGTGTGACAGTTTTTACAAATTCTACTATTTTTTTTTTATGTACTACCTATTTCACTACTGGCTATACTCAATTAAAAAAAAACAGTTATTGATTTTTAGTTTTGACAGGAAAATACATTGTTGATTTCCAGTCCTGTATTTTGAGTAATTGTGAATTAGAAACAAATATTTAGAAATAATTAAATTTCTTTTGTACCCGTACTCGTAAAATAATGAGTGAACTCAGACACCGTCGTGGCGAAGGTGACGGAAATGAAAAAGTTGAAACTGCTGGCGAATCTGATCATGTACTTTTTTTTTATTTATTGACAAGTTTTGCATTGGATTAATTCCATGTTATGCTTATTGTTTTCCTTGTTTGTTAGGTGGATTCAGAGGAAGAAAAGGTGTTAGAGGAAAAGTATGTGGATGAAATGGCGAAGAATCTGCCTCAAGGTACAGATAAGACGCCTGAAATCTTGGATTCAGCGCTTTCTGGTCTCTCATCCAGGTATGGGCTTTCCAGTTATTTGCTTTCAATTTTCTATCAATGACATTGATTAAAAATTGGTACAACTTAGTTGCTATCTAATCAAATAGAATAAAAATGTAACTTATTTTTTATGAACATGAACACATATTTTATTTGCATTTAAATATAAAATCAAACATTGAATTCTTTATTGCAAACCTTGGAAAAATTGTAATAGTCAAAATAGGTATATCAATATACTATCACAGACATAATATATCACAGACATTAAAATTACATTAATTTTTAAAAATAGTTTTACCACAATGACATTTCATAAAACCTGTTTGTATAAAAATGAAGGCTGACCAAATCATGTTGTTATAGATATTTTATATACTGTGAATTATTTAAAATGTTTACCAAGATTGCTTTGTTAATTAATTTATTAACTATAACTAAGTCAAAGAATAATAAAATAACTACTAACATTGATGTATTAGCCAAAGATGAATTATGATTATTATTATATGGTACATTTAATGATGTGTTGAATGGTTTGGTGTTTAATTATATATTGGCTGTTTAAGTTGGTAATATAAATGTCAACTGTATTACTTTAATCACTTCTAAAAACAAAATTTAAAGATGGCAACTCTATATATCGTCGGTCCAGTGGTAAACTATTCAATCTGCAATTTTGGCAGTTTTTAGTGACATATGCCAAAACTAATTTTTTATGTATCTACAATGTGGCAAAATCCTATAACTGTGACTTTAATAGTTACCGAGATAAGTGCTTATCTGCCAAATCTAAAATTAGTGTAAAAGTAAACTAGTCAATGTGAAAAAATGTTCAGTTTACAAAACCAAAATCTGTTATAAAAATATCACCATGGTCAACTTGTTTAAATGGCAGATTGATTAGTTTACCTTGGTGCAAAGAATCACTTAGACTTGTTTTCAATCAAAATTGTGCATTGTACACAATACGCTCCCGTAATCAACTCACATATCTACCACTTTGGCTACTTGAACACAGTGAAATTATTTTACTTGTCTCATTCTGACCATGGTAAGCAAGTAAATCTGCTTTAATTACATAAATAACTTAAAAATTATAGTTTTATTTATTTATCTACCTAAAGAACAATTTTTTTACTAGACTACTACTACTAAAGAATGTAAAGATTTATGGTATCAATTTTTGTCCTCTTTCTGCTCTCCTGAAAAGTTGGACTTTTGAAGATTGCATAGTTTACTACTGGACCGATGATATATTAAAAATGATAATTGATGTATTAAAATCACATGAGCAATACTAAAAATCCACATAAATATTAAGTAAAATTTGAAAAAACGCTTCTTTTATAAGTGGCATAAAGAATTATTTATTAATTATTGAAATAAAAACATAACCAAAATATTATTATAATAATTAAATAACTTAGTTTGTTAATGTATTACATAAATTTTTGGAAATTAATCAATTTTGTTAAAAATATTGAGGTATACGAAAAAAAAAAACTTTGGTTTGTATTGTAATAACGGGATAACAAACAAAAAGGTTTTTTTGGTAAACAACCAAAAGTAAGAATGAAATCAGAGACATTATATATATTCATTATTAATAAATCATCATCAGTCCTTTTACATCCCCACTGCAATTTAACATGACTTCTGAAGCACAGAGTAGTTCAAGAAAAGATTTTATTTTTGGTCACCCATCCCGTGACCTATCATTGCGAAAGATACTCAACAACAGCGATCACGCCACCGAGCTACTCAAGAATCTATTAGGGGTTACTGCCAAAACAGGTCTCCGCCATATTGGAGAATTTTTTCTGTGAACTAGGTACTAGTTCGAGGTCATTTTGGCCTCCTTATTCAATTCATCTGAATTGCCCTAAATTGTTTATAAACCCTAACCCCTCTGATACAAAATCAAATGGGTATGTTATCCATAGCTTTGTTAGGTTGCCAAATGGTCATAAAAATGTTCAATTAAACAGCTAGCTAGACTTTTAGTATTCTAATGTAGGTTAGTTTTCTATTAAATCTAAATAAAAGTTGAATACCTAATGATATTTAAATTTAAAAGCACCACCATAACATTAATTTAGTATATTTCTCTGCCACAGAGCCGCAAGTTTCGCTGTTTACAAAAATCCACAAGTCTCACATCAATGTTTTTCTGTTGTAAAAAGTTTCGAAATCGAAAACAAACCAGGCGGGTTAATTTAGTATATACCTTTCTATAAGATCCGCTAAAGTAGATACTGGATTATATACATAACATAGTTGTATAACGTCCTAACATAATAAATGCATTCGATTTCAACAACTTTTCACTACTTGACTCCACTAGATGGCGACTCTAGCAAAAGTTGATTTTTGCAGGGAAACGAATGAACTAAAGACAGTAATTTCCGTTCCTTTTAACTAACATATTAAAAAACTGAAATTTGAAAAGTTCGAAACTTAGATATCAATACAAAAACAAAAAAGTACAAATAGAATATGAGTTGTTTATTGAGTTTTGAAAACTAACTTACTTTAATTTAATTTACTTTTAAACATGAAAGAAAACCGGAAGGGTTGTCATAGAGAAATCAAAACGTACCGTAGCGACATCTAGTTTGATTACTAACGTACAGTAAATACATCGATGTGGTGATACTGTGCTCTCCGAGTAATATGTGATCGCAAGACTATGCTAGCTAATACTCATAACAAGTAAGAATCATAATTATTATTGTCTAAACTTAAAAACAATTTCGAAACAGAATAATATTTCATGTTGAGAATTTTTATTGGTAGGTAGGTAGTATCATTGTGGTATCGCGCTGTAGGTACATATGTAGTTGCAAGCTAAGTCGCGATTTTCGCGTCATTGTGTGGATTTGTAATATGTCCACACAACAGTGTTACACAACCCAGCAATTAGTATAACTGTGTCCATACATAAACAATGTTTTAGTACATAAAAGCAAAATTCCAGTTTTCGTTTTATGATTATAAATGCATTTTCTAATTGCGGTGTATAAGGATGTGCGTTATTTCTGTTACACGTTGTATAATGGGCCATACGAGGCGTATAATCCTTGGAGGCCCATAGCATAATACATTATCTTAACAGGTTTGTGTGCGCTTACGCCATAGGTATAGTTAAGTATACATATTGAAATGTAAAAAAAATAAACTACATTACATATATTATGATTTCTTTATTTTTTGCTTACCAGTAAAATCCTATCGGGACGTAACAAAAGGAAAATAATATTTAGCAAATTAGTTTTTGGTACAAGTATGTAAAATAAAAAAACAGTCCATGCACATAGGTGGACTGTCACGGCAATCCTTACATTCCATTGTAGTCTGTACACGTTTTTTATTGCGATAGCAATTTCTGCAATCTTTCCTAGCGATTGCTTGCACTTTTCTCTCAGAGCCATTTTTTATTGTACGCTCTGTTATTTTGACTATTTTAGTCAACTTGTGACTTTGTTGCAGGGGATTTCTTAAAGAAGACTCGGGTATTGGTACGTTTTCTGGCAATAAATTTTCTATTATTTTCTCTCTAAAGTCATAAAATGAAATCTTAGTTTTTCCAGAATATTTGTTATACAATACATGAGCATTTGCCAGACTCATCAGCGTTGTATGTATAAAAATCTTTACGTACCAGTGTAACGTTTTTCTTTCACACGGGTAATATGCTATCATTTGTTCTTGAAGATCAACCCCAGACATATTTTCATTATATCGTTCTATTGCCAATGGCTTTAGTTTTGTAATACCATGTTTATTGGTCACTTCTTGCATCTCGTCAGCAAATTCTGTTGATATATAATGTATTTCATTTTTATCTTTCCATTTACCAATATGGACGCCATTTCTATACCGTGAGATATTCTCGCTCTTTTTCAATTTTTTCGCAATGATAACTCGTGGATTATCATTTCGTTTCTTATTTAGTGTTCCGGTACAACAAGTTCGTCGATCCAACATTTTTTTTGCTAAGGTATATGAAAAATCGTCCATGTATAATGAATGGCCAACATCTAATTTATTTTCCATCAATTGTTCGACAATTTTCTCCATGAGATCTTTTTCTGTTTCATCTTCAGTGCTGGCTGTTACATGAAATTTTAAAACCATGCCATCGGGCTCTGAAAGCACGTATAGCTTGTTGTCATATTTATGGCGTTTGCCTTTTATGTATTGACGAAAAAATAGGCGACCACGCCGTAGCACCATCGACTCATCCAAAGATAAATTCTGGCCTGGATAATATATATTATCCATTGTATTATTGAAATTATCAACTATTATTTGGCATTTATTTGGACACCAGACAGCATCTTCATCTTTTTCAGGTAATGTAAAATGTAAACAACGTAAGATAATAAAAAATCTATTTCTAGACATATATTTTGAAAAGCAAAACTGATACAACCAGTGAACTTTCCAATAATCTGTCCAACGGTTCATTTTCGCAGTGCCAGTATGCAACAGCAGACCCAGAAGTATTTTGAGCTCTTTAACGGTTAATTCTTTCCATCTTGAAATACGTGCGTAACGATGTTCACTATAGCTTTTCAAACGTTCAGCGTACTTGTTTGTGCAATGGATTATCGTTCTCAAATAATCTTCATGGAAAAAAATCCAAAAGTAGTCTATTAGTTGTGAAGGCGGTTCTATGAGCAACTTTGACTCGCGAACAAACGGAATTTCTTTCATAGATGAGCAAAAAGTGCTCCAGGTTAATGTAGATTCGTCGGTAGAAGGTTGAAAATATTCCTGTGACATAGCTAGTTCATCTTTATAATTCAATAGTATTTCACTGGGTGGTCGCGGCGACGAAACTCTTTCTTCATCTTCCGAATCTGAGGTTGAGCTGTCTTCATCATAATCATTATATAGAAAATCTTTGTCTTCATCACTATCCACAAAATCTTCCTCATAAGAGTTCCCTGAAGTTTCTAAAATATCTGTTTCGTGCGATAGCAAAATACGTTTTGATTGTGCTTTCAAAGGTCTATCACTTTGTCGTTTCATACTCTTAAAGGTACTACCGGGTTGATCACTCGTTATAATTTTACTATCTATGTTATAAGTACATATTTCTTACAAAAACAAACATTGTATTTGAACAGAACGAACTCAATACATCCAACCGCACGAGCGGAGTCAGAAAACGAACTAACCAATTACGTAAGACTCAAAGTATTGTATGATTCTATGGGCCACACCCTCTTTACAATAGTGCAATCGTTTAGTGCTTTCTGTAGACACCCATAAGATATACTTTGCCATAACCCTACGGTCCACTTAATAATCTCTATTCAAAATCCTTTGGACATTTCACGCGGCGTCGCGTGATAGGTCAAACTCATCGTGAACACGCGACGTCGCGTGTTTGGCGACAAACGTGTATCTGATTACATTTTTTTATCAATATAGATGGAGAAATTGGGTTATCCGTGGAATCTTCACATGGCTGATGATTGGAGCCTTCTGTCTCCTGATCTATGGAGGTCCTCTGGCATTAATGATAACGGTAAACAAACACATATATCAAATACTAGCTCGGGCTGAAAACCTTAGAATGAAATAATATGTCATACTTCAATAAAATTAAGATCTGAATCCATCAAGTCTGACAAGTACTAGTTTCTATAAATGAACAGATCCTATTAATATTATAAATGTGAAAGTTTCTTTAAGCCGAAACTACTGAACGGATTTTTATGAAATTTGGTATACAGATAGGGTGTTACCTGACTTAGATAATAGGATTACTTTTTATTCCACAAAACATTTCCCTAGAGTCCATGCAGGCGAAGCCGCTGGCGAAAGCAAGTATATAATAAAAGTAATATTTATAACATTGTTGCTTTTTCTTTGCAATTTCTTCATATTTTCTTACTATTCAACTAGAATTCTACAAATATTTCATAACCTAAATAAGCCAAATCACTCACTTTCGAGTTACTGAGACTAAATTTCAATTTTAACCAACTTCAAAATCGAAAAGGAGGTTATATGTTCGACGAAGATGTATGTTTTTATATCGTAGATTACATTGTTTTTGGATATGGTAAAGAATATGTATTATTTTTTTTATTTACACTAATGATAAAAAGTTTCATTTGACTTAACACACGGCATCAATTACGCCAATTTTTACGCAATAATCTCATCTCAGTAGTGTCAACTACTTGCATTATTCTATTGTACTATCTACGTAAAGTCCAATATTACTAGTGCAAAGTCTTTCTTACAAATCATTGGTGACAGATATGTTTATTATTTTGTGATCTAATAAAAAGAACTGTGACATAAAGGGTAAATGCTTGTACTGGTGGAATCATTTTTTATATATGTAGTATGTACGAGGGTGGTTTGTTCTCGGCCCGACCGAGATTTGAGGAAAGATTGTAAACTAATTTATTGTCATGCGACAGCTCGATTCTTTATTTAATCGTATGTCAAGTGCCATTGTATTGAGACAAGGGGTGAATATGTTAAAAAAATAAAACATGTGTTTATTTTTATTTTCTCGTTTTTATTCTCGTTTTCTTGGTCGGGCTAAGAACTTTTCAAACCACCCGTAGGTTCGTAGGTAGGTAATTTTCTTGTCTCTTACAAAATGTTTATGCAAGGTGCATTCGTATATAATGAATATGTATTTTAATATTTGACAGGTTTTGTGCGTCCAAGTAAAATGCTTTGAGGAGATCATCAACATTGGCTATGCGGTCTACCGAGTTCACGGTTTGCCGTGGTTCCGCTCCCTCTCCTGGTACTTCCTGTTAACTTCCAACTATTTCTTCTATGGAGAAAACCTGATTGACTACTTTGGTGTTGTCATCAATAGAACGGTGAGTGAAAGCATTGTTTATTTGCATTTTGTTTTCAATTCTGTACGATGCTTGTTTAAAATAAAAAAGAAATTAGAATTCTCCGGTTATTCATATCTAAGAGGTTGGTTCATCACCGCATTAATGTTATAAAATAATTTTTGAAATCTATCAGTATTCTTAATGAAGACTGCTCTAACCACTGATCTAAAAGGACTGACGAATTTTTCAAGCACTTGTTACTATGTATCTACTATAGAGCGTATTTTCATCAATCTTTAGGCAATAAACCCTGGCGAAAAAGTAACAAGTTCCTGAAAAATGCGACAATCCTCTTAGGTCCTGGGTAGCTCAGTGGTCAGAGCAGTCGTCTGGATTGCGAAAGGTCATGGGTTCGAATCCTATCTGAGGGTGCCAGTGGCCAAGGCCGTGCAAAACAATTTCTGCCAGCCCTCGCTGCCACCGCTTCGATGTCTAGATGGAACATTAGCTCACAAGCCGCAGGAGAAAGTCGACCTCTTGGCAAGCCTCTTCGCGGCTAATTCCCAAACCGATGACTGTAATGCACTGCCACCAACATTACCTTCTTGTGGCTTCACTATGCCTGATATTCATATCAGGCAGCGTGATGAGCGTGCGGAACTACAGTCACTCGATGTCCGGAAAGCTAGTGATCCTGATGGCATACCTGCGGTTGTTGTAAAAATGTGTGCAGCGGAGTTGACTCCCGTACTTACGCGCCTATACCAGCTATCTCTTTCTTCGGGTCGTGTACCTGAGGCTTGGAGAGAGGTCATTGTGCAGCCAGTGCCCAAAAAGGTCGGTCAGACCCTGCAAACTACCGCCCTATAGCTATCACCTCTGTGCTGTGTAAAGTCCTGGAAAGGATTATTAACTCCCAACTGATCCGATACCTAGAAGATCACTCCCTTGTAAATGATCGTCAGTATGGCTTTAGACCAAAGCGATCAACTGGTGATCTTCTAGCGCACGTCATGCACCTCTGGGGTGAAGCTATCGACAAGCGCGGCGAGTCCTTGGCTGTCAGTCTTGACATTGCTAAGGCATTTGACAGGGTTTGGCACAAGGGACTTCTCTCCAAGCTTCCGGCCTACGGTCTGCCCGTTCAACTCTGCGCCTGGATAGCCGACTTCCTGCGTGAGCGTAAAAGCCGTATTCTTTCTGACGGATGCTCTTCACAGCTTTTGTCAGTCAACTCCGGTGTGCCTCGGGGCTCCGTTCTTGCTTGCCTCTACAGAACAGCATCAACATGATGGAAGTGCGTTGTGATCTGAATCCCAAAAACCACATCGAGTCTGTTATTAAAACAGCATCACGAAAACTCGGTGTCCTGAACAGGTGCGGCGTTTTTTCACGCCCGAACAACTGTGCCTGCTATACAAAACGCAGGTCCGGTCATGCGTGGAGTATTGCTTGCACCTTTGGGATGGCTCCGCTAGGTACTTACTCGATGCATTGGATAGATTGCAGCGCCGCGCAGTACGCATTATTGGCAATGGTGAAGTCACCAAGAACCTAGAAAGCCTGCAACTGCGCCGAGACGTCGCTTCGCTTAGCGTCTTCTACCGTCTCTACCATGGTGAATGCTCTGAAGAACTCTTTTCCCTTATCCCCCCCCATCTCCCTTCCTCTTCAGGACCACACGTGCTGGTTTGCGTTGCCAGCAACTAACTGTGGCAACGATTCCTTCGCGTACAAAGAAATTTGGCGACTCATTTCTTTGTCGTGCTTCAAAAAAATGGAATTATCTCCCGGCCCATGTATTCCCTCCTTCCTATGACATAGGGTCCTTCAAGCGGGGCGTGAAGAAGTACCTTGCAGGTCGGCAAGGTGAGGGTGGTTAGTGCAGTACCTACGTACTGTTTTCACTAGCTGTCCTCGCGTTTGGACTACGCTTCCGCTTACCATCAGGTGGAGCGCAGTCATTTGCCCTCCATTTCATATAATAAAAAAAAGAATATTTATCAGTATAGCATTATGAATGCATAATTGATCAAATACAATGATCGGTCCAGGAGTCCAATTTGGTATTTGATGCAAAGAAACTCATGATTTTTTAGTCTTCTAATTATTCAATTTACAAAATTCATCGATTTTAAGGTCAGTCCATAGACAATGGATCGACTTGAAGTAGGCAAAAAAAAAAAAACTTAATAGACTGTTTGTTTCCGCTGGCTTAATTTAAAAACGAAACAAATGTTTAATTATTCTTTAGGTATGATAGTGTAACTTAACGAATAGGTATTTAACGGGTCCTGAAATTATTTAAATTACATTATAATAATAAACAAAAATGTCGATTATGGCCATTATCGGTGTCCAGCACCATTATCTATGCATGATATAAAAATATACACTCCATTATTTTCCACACGTAATGTAATTTTGATTCATGTAAACAAAAACTCGGTCACCTTGAATGTTTTTACGGCTAATGGGATTATTCTAGCCATAATAGAATTATTACTGTTGAATGCATAAGAGCTATTATTAGTGCAACGAGGTACAATATGATACTTTACCTATAAACACATTTTAAGGCCCACACTCCACCAAAGCGGAGATGTGCGGAGATGTCCAATGTGGAGACGAGAAGAGATGTTATTCTGTTCGGGTGAATCCACCGAAGCTGTGCGTAGATACGTATTGTGTCGCGGAGTGGAGCGTTAGCTAGCGTTGAGAGTGTGCAAGGCATTGAGTGCTCAGTACGCGTTCTGACATGAAAGGTAGACGTTATGTCGCTTTTACAAAAACGTACGCTCACATCTTCTCGTCTCCGCTGCGTCTCGTCAAGGCACAGCTCTCATCTCCGCTTCCATCGCACCATACAAATATAAAACATCTCCGCTTAGCGATCTCCACTGGAGCTTAGCGGAGACAAGATGTGTGAATAGCGAAATTCTATTGGTTGTTTAAAAAACATCTCTGCATTCGTCTCGTCTCCTCTTTGGTGGAGTGTGGGCCTAATGAATACTAGGTTAGATATTTATGCTACTGATTTTGTTCGTAATAGCATGGGGAAATAATATGCCATGGTTAATAACACAGTGAACACTAATTGTTTGTAAATAGCCTTAGGATAACTGTCTGAGCATTGCATCAGAGCATTGCATTACATATACCCGCTTCCCCCATCGCAGGGTCGGCTGGTTATGTGAACTCCTAATATTTTATTGTTATATAAGACGGAAATTTTAAATCGTCGTGAACAACGCTTTTACTATATCTTTAAAATAAGTGCTATTTCAGCATTGAGTTGCATACCTGATGGCGTAGCTGTTTATAAATATTTCCGTGAACCGGTGACCGAGTTTGTTTATTTGCATTATTGCAATATGTAAACACCAAAAACCAATATGGAGCTGATACCCTATTAGGTACTTAGTTTTGTCACTTTTTTTTTTGTGTACTTAGTTGTTTTTTATCCTTTTGCCAATTAAACTATTCATTATTATTTTTGAATTAAAAATACACAGCAATATGTTTATCGTTTTTATTAAAAATTATTTGACCTCAGTTCATATTTATTTCTGTTGAAGTGTATAACAAGGATTACGATTTAATATCTATATTTATGCACAATAAAATATAAAAAGAAGTAGTATAAAAAGTAATAAAAGATCGGACCGGTTTGCCAGAATACCGTTACGTTGCGTCGCTGCAAAACGCGACTGTCTGTGTTTATATTTTTTTATCTATTATGTTTGCCTTAAAGTTTTTAGGTCGGCATTTGTTTTTTTTTTTCATTTTCAACTTCTATCAACGTATAAAACCTTATTAAATTATCCCATCTATCAGAGGAATGAATATAATCAACTTATATGGCAGATAGTCAGCGCAGAGGGTCTTTATTTTAAAAAATTGTGCTGATTATTCTGGTAAAATTCTTGTAAATTTCGATACGATAATGTAGATCGTGTCACCGAGTAATTAAAATTGGTAACATTATATATTTTTTTTATTTTCCAACTTTACTCTTTGTACTAGGTGTAATCTTGAAAAAAGATTGAAATCATGCTGTATAATATTCCATTGATTAATGCAATGGATTTGATAATGTAATACTTTAATATCATTATTAAGACTTAACTGATAAACGGTAGACACTAGACAGACGTTATTTCATCTGATTTATTGATTAGCACCGATATAATTACCTTTGTTGAAGAATGTTTAAAGTTTGCTTTGACAGTTACACGAATCGCATTCATTGAAATTATACAAAATCATAATAAATTATGCAACCATAATCACCCTGATTATTGTGTATGAAAACTGCAAATTTATTCGATAGTTTTCACTTTGTTTTATTATTTTGGAAAACAAATGGCGATAATACATCAATAAGTACATAATACTAGTAAGAAAACAATATATATTCCTTAATAAACCTATTGTTTTCGGGGAACCGGAAAAGGATTTAAATAAAAAATGTCAACATCCGAATAGTCTTCTTCTTCTTCTTCTTTTTTAATTCATGGCCTATTTGCATTTACACAATTCCGCCAATGTCACGTTTGTGGTCTTTACACGTATAGAAACAATAATAAAATATGTAAAATTTTGAATTTCAATAAAATAAAAAATATAGCTCTGAGCGCGTCTATCTGATTACATTGTTAAAGATAATACAAATAGAATGTATATAGAAAACAAATATATTTATAAATTAAGACTATTATTGATTGCAAAGAATTTTGCTAAAATTTTGAATGGGCTGGGATTCTCCATACTCAAGATACATTTTATATTTGTTGGACGTGGAACTTTTGATGGTAGCAAATCATAAAGCGAAATGGATAAATTTGAACAATTAAATAAAATATGATCCGTAGTTCCTTCCTCAATGCCACAATCGCAGAGGGGGTTGTCTTTAATTTTAAATTTGGCAAGTCGAACCGGCGTACACACATGTCCAATTCTCAGGCGACAAATAATTGAAATCGTTTTTTTACTTAAAAGCTTTTCCTTAAAGAACCAGGGAGTACTGGGGATAGTTC